TCAATATAATAGAAAGAAACAAAACAGTAAATGAGTATGAGCTACTTCTATATAGTAATGGGTTTGTTAATGACCCCGATCTTGATCACGTTTTTGTCCACTTTCCCTGATCCATTCATCAAATGCTGACATTGCTCCTCTTTTTGCTTCTGGTCATAAATGTAACTTCACTATGTGCACATATTGTTGAGATCTAAATTTGCTAGATGTGGTAGGAGTCAAAAAGAGGGTTTGAGTTAATATTTTGTTAGCAATACAAATAAAATAATAATAATAATACTAATAATAAAATCAAATCTGCAGTTTGTTTACCAATACATATAATATTTCTGTAATTCGGTAGTGAAAATTGCTAGTTTTCAAATGTACGTAACTTCGCCGTTTTATAAAACTTTTTTCGTCATTCAACTATACTTCACTTTTTATAACGACATGTCAGAGACTGTCTTCACAATGCAATATCTCACAGCATTTCGCGCCTTATATCCTTGAAGAATTTCAGGTTCTTGTAACTTCTTGTTTTTGAAGATGGGATTTTGTAATTTTGTAACTTTTCATCATCATCATCATCATCATCATCATCATCATCATCATCATCATTAACAGTATGTTGAAAATGAAATTCATGAAAAATAATAGCATTTACATCGAATGCCCGGGAAGTGTCATTTCGACTCCTTGTGTATTGTCCCCCTCCTCAAGCTTCTGTTTCATATATTTCAACGCTGAAATTTTTGAAAGGTCTCTCCTAGTATTTTGAATACCTCCTGAAGAAATATGGAATCCTTCTTTCCTTTTGTTCCTTTCCTTGGGGGGGTGTCATTGTGTTCAATACATGCAAATTCATGAGTTGTTTCGAGAGGGTAGCTAATATATCACAGCATTGAAAATTGTCATTTTATGTCACTTTCAATGTTTCTGGGTTAGCGTCTGGTCTGATTTTTCAAACAAACAATGTTGTGGTCACTTGATTCGTGACAAAATGGGGAAGGAAGAAATGGGGCAATGGTGGACAAAAGAAAAAATGGGCTAAATTGACAAAAGAAACAAATGAATAATTGGACAAAATGGCGCAAAACAAAAATGGACAAAACTGGACAAAAACGGACAAAATGGGAAAGGAGATAAATGGGCTAGAAAGACAAAAGGGGCACAGGAACAAAAGGACCAGTTTCATAATCTATTTCTTATAATACTAATGAAGATAAAAGTCTTTAAAGGGCATTACATTCAGTGGATATTTCAAAAATTGTCACTTTAATACACTTGTGATAATTGTTATTGTAAAAATAAAGTTTCTTTACATTTGTTCTCAAAAACTCTGTTTTGTGTCAATGACATATTTATCCAAAGATTTATGAGCACTGGTAAAATCTAAACCTGAAAGTCCGCTAAAATTTTTTTAATCAATTGTATCCTGGAGCCTTTCTTCCAAATGTTGACAAATTAAAGAGCATATTTATGGTCATTTTCAACAGGACTCTGGAACCACACATGCTTCTTCAGTTTTTAAAGGGGGTTCATTGCTGTTTATGAAGACAGAATTATCAAAAGTGTTCTGTGGCCTTCACATTCTCCTGATCCGACTCCTTGCAATTTATTTCTTTGAAGATTCCTGAAAGATCGCGCATTGTTGTATTGCAACTTCACGACTTAAAATATTGAATAACAGAAAACTGAACCCCTCACTTTGATACACATGAGGAGGAAATTTGAAGAAATCATTAATAGCCATTTTTGCAAAAATATTTGTTTGCAAAAATATTTGTTTACTAAGTTTAAAAATTGCCTTTATTTCATGCAAAATTAGGCAAAAGCTATTCAATTTTCGAAAATGTGTATATAACTTCATTTCAAGATCTGTCTTTGAACAATACATTTTATTAAAATAATATATCCATCTTCAATATTGTAGTTGAAGATGCCGAAAAAAATTGCAAAGATGTCTGCTACCACTACAATGTCAATCATTGTCAAGTAATGCCCGCTTTAATAAATGGGCAATGCAATATCAGAACACTTTAATAGCATGTATTATTGAATCTTTCATTACAGGATGTTCCAAGAATTAACATACATTTTAAAAGCAGCGGGAAAATATCTGAGCATCTCACAACCAGTGATGTTAGCAGACTATCACTCTGTGTGTCCGTGCCCGAATTCAAAACCAAATCATCATGACGTGCTCTGCTTTGCAAATAGATCCACAGTTGGAAAGGTTATTAATTCTAAACCAAGTGGGAAGCAGGTAGGAATCATATCTTGTAGTTTTCGCATTTTAGTCATTTTTCATTCTGCCATTTTTATTAAATATTGGAATGCAGCTTAAAGTACACTCCTCTCGTTAGACTAAATCATGTATTCAAAATTATTTTTACTTTCTCACCTTACGAATTCCTCGGAAGAAGAGAAAGTTATGAAATCGTGTGACAGAAAGGCCAAAATCGCCAGGAAAAAAACCTTATTGCCAGGAATTGGTAATGAAGTGGATAAATCCTGTAGCTAAATTTAGAAAAAACACTAGTGGCATAGACTTTCTCACAGTATTTAGTTTTCTAATCTCTCTAATCTGAACTAGGATTTCAGTTGTGACTGATTTTCTTCCCAGATACCTTGTTTGGTTACCCAAAGGACATTTTTTTTCACATTTTCTTGACTTTCTGGCTTCCTAAATGCTAGAACTGAGGCAACCATGTGCTTATTACTATTTGAAGCAATTCTAATCACTAAGAAATGCGGGGATTGAGGCATAGTGCCACACCGTTGATTCCGAGGATCAGAGTTTGAGTCTCAGAGTTTAAAAATTATTTGCTGCTTGAAAACACTTTTCCTGTTTTATGTAGTAGTATAATGTTGCAGAGCATTTAGAAACAATGCGAGAAAGTATGTGCTTTGGTAGCACCACTAGTTTACTTCATTATTTGGTGGTTGGTATACTATAGAGTAACTAATTTTCTTATTTATGTTTAATTATAAGGAACATCTGAAGATCCTATGAAGTCCTCATATACAGAAAGAACTTAATTTGAACTTTTAAAAACCTAAAAATCCGGGGCTTAGTTATGATTATGTATGATATATTAGAAAGAATATCACAAGGCAATTGTTGGAACCAACAATTCTTTTAAAAGGTGTTGATGAATGAAGAAAACTGTTGGGAATCCTTGTTACATAACAAAAAATGAATTTTCATTAAAATGTATTATAATGAGATTCAGTTTTCTAGCAAATCATACATTAGTCAACCAAGCATCTTTAGAAAAAACAATTTATAACTAAAATATTGTTTTACAGATTAAATCAATTGTTTGAATTCTAATGTTTAAAAAATCTCAATATTAAAAATAAAACAATTTCATCCAGAAAAAACAAAATGTATAAAACTGTGCACAGATATATTCTTCTGCCTCCTAAAGAAAAACAATACCCAAGCTGATAGCAGTGCATGATGCAGTAGCATGCCAAGCTAAGCCGCCATACTTCATTCCTATGTCAGAGATATTATTGGGGGGCTTCCTTAATGGATCCTTTACGGACACTCACGAAAGTCTCCAAGATGCCTTAGGTGCACACAGTGCTAACAATTTTTAAAAATCTTTTCTTCTGTGTTGCTATTGTTACAATGTCAGAGTGCTCAATAAATAAATAAATAAATAAAAAAATAAAAAACTTACCAGACAGTTTCATGATATTTGCTAAATCCATCTTTTTCTTCTTCTTTTTCTTTGGTTTCTTTTTAGGTGGTGGCAGACTTGTTGGTAGTCCCATCTGGTTTGAAACTGATTCTCTCGGCACAGAGGGGTTACTTGTTCCACCACAAAGATCTGCACTTGAGTTCTGATGTAGTACGACATTACCACTAGATCGAATAATATTTGAACTATTAATGTTTAAATTGTTTGCACTATTATCCTGCACATGATTTGTAGTCTGACTCTGATGTATCACAGATGAACTTTGATTCACAACTGATGGTAAAGTCACCGTTTGACCTAATATTGAATTAGATTGAGAACAACTTGCACTTGAGCTTGCTGAAGCACTTATATTTAAATTTGGAACACTGATGTTCAAACTTGGGACACTATTGCCTCCTCGAACACCACTCTGAGGTACAGATGACTGAAGGTTATTAAGAACAGTAGGAAGAATGCTGGGTGGTTGCAATGAAAGTTGAGTACCAGGCTGTCTTGCTGCTTGCTGAGAAGAAAGTGACGGTTGCTGAGAGGTAGTTAGGTGGGGCACAGGCTGAAGACTTAGTGTCTGAGCAGATGGAACTGCAATAAATGTTGGCCCTGTTGCTGTCTGTATTGGCTGGAGATGCATAGGTCCTTGGGCAATTAAACGGAGGACCTGCAACAGATATTACTTTATGAAAATACACAACATAAATATGATTTTCTATAAGATACGCTTCCTAGTAATAATGAAAGATTGATGAGAAATAATAGATTTTCAGTATCAGATATCTGACAAAGAATAACATTTTTGGGAAATACAATCCTATATTACTATGCCTTTCATAAATTGAAAATACTAGTTGTAAAATTAATCTGGGGATTGAACATGAGTGATGATGTTGAATTCATTTTAACTATTATTTATTTTTATCAATTTCAAATGAGGCACAAATGTATTAACATATCATTCATTGAATGCAATAAAAATATATTTATTATTGTAACTATGCAGGACCTCAGTATAGTAAACTTATGTCAATACACACTTTAATTTAGAAAATATAATTATTATTTTTGTTGAAAATAAGCAGATAGAAGAAAAACAATTGACAACACGAACATGGAACTGAATTTAACATTCTCATTGAGTAACGGGAGTTTTCGATTTAGAAAATAAGCATTAGAAAAATAAACAATTGTAATAATCATCTGGAAGCAGTACAAAAAGGGGGTACAAAAATTTACAAGAAGTTAAAGAGGAAGAAAGATACACACACAGAAGAACAACTGAACATGGGCAACTGGTGTAAATAGCATGCTAAACGAGTTGGAATTTCAGCAAAGCAGGTGAACCAGGAGACAACAAACTTTGGGGGACGCGTCTATTTCAAAAGCAAAATTTGCAAAACCTTGGAAAAGTGCCGAATTAGAATAAATATTTTTAAAAATATAAAAGATTCCAAAAGGTAGCAGTAACAGATGAAAGCAAGTGTTGTTTTATTGAAAAACAATAGAAAGATACACTGATTAAGGAAAAACACAGAGGGAGGAGAGATGCTGAGACAACAACATGGTGTAGCGTGTGCTGGCAATTCGAATGTGCTGGAAGTGTGGTAATGTGAAAATAGGGAGCCCAATTGATGGAATGATATGGTGAAATGGTGGATAAAGCCAATTCATGGACTAATGACATATTAAGAGATGTGGACATCCCCAGATATTAGCCCGCGTGTACAGAATATATATTTATGATGAAGGCCAAGCACTGCAATAAATTTGGTTAACACCCTGAAATAATGTGGATGGCCATCAAAATAAAAACATGGAGTATGAATGAGAATTTAAAAAAAAAATATTCTGTTATTCAGTGTGAACGAGAAGTTAGATTCTTTGTTATTGCATTAACGGGAATATCTTGTTTGGTGTTGTGATTTTTACCTGCAACATTGCTCAAGGTTCATGGCCTGTTTGTTAAGGAACTGCTCAAGTATTTGCCTAGCAGTGATCAGATAAAACATGGAAAACTACCGATCAGAACATCCGGCCTCTAGAATTCTCCTCCTGACAGCGACTGTATTTGATCTAATTACTTAATCTTTGATGAATGGGGCCATAAATGTTCAAGATTACCTCTCTTGTTATTGTGAACCAATGTGCTTAAAATCATACTGTCACTGCACTACTGTTTACAATCTCAAAATCTTACTATTTTAAAACTTACTTCTAATTGGAATAATGGGACCTCTCAATATTTACCTTCATTTTATGGAAAACAATAAATATTGAAGTATGATAAGAATTGCATTAAGCATGTAACTGAAAACATATTCTGAGGCCCGAACATCAGTAACTACACAGAATAGCGACTGCATCACATTCTCAAAGAAATAATACATCTTTTAATCACTGACTTATTAACTTTGAGGTGTTATACTAAAAAGAAAAATCTGCTACTATTTAGAGGGTAGCAAAACAAATTATTTTGACATTACCTGAATGTGGCATCAGAGACGTTTTTACACTATTATAAAAACATTTCAATGTCAAAAATTTCTACTTAACAAGTTCTAAATAAAAAGAAACTTTAAACTTACAGTTTATTAAAGAAAATTATCAAGCTCCATTTCTAGAACAAGCTGTTCCATTTTTAAGGATTTATTTGAGAATATCATTTTTAATTTTAGCTTACAAAAGGGGATTATCCCATTAGCCCTATCATATATGCAGCACATACAATTATCTTCTCAAGTTATCTAAGCCCTGCACTGCATACAGTAAATAGCAAAATCCAGGTGAACCTTTAGCTACCTCTGTCAAACATTGCCATGGACCTCACTAGCCCATTTAGCTGTCATCACAGCTGCATCTGATGCCAACCGAGATCATTCGCACGATCACCACTAGATCACAGAGCTCAAAAATGAGTTTTTGGAAGTTTCTTAAAATCTTCTGCATGGATCCACAAACAAATCATCAGTTCCCATCAGGTGACTGAGACACTATCGAGACCAACGAGACACTGATGTCTCATTGGTCTCAATTAGTGGGTGGGAAGTTATCCAACCATGAGAGACGGACAGACACACACACAGGTTACTAAAATACCATATTATATTAACATAACAAATACTATATAATATTAACATACATTTTGGTGGCCTCAGGGGCAAAGGGACTTGGGGCAGAATTAAATTACACAGAGCTGAAGACTGCTGATTTGAGTACACAAGGCACGGAGATGGTCACCATGTGGTTTAGTTGGCTTCTCAAACACTATCGCATTTCAACATCTTCCGATCCCAAATCTTTGGCTGTCATCATCATTCACCCCTCATGCCCCTACCATCCTTCATACAGTAGGAGTAACAAGCAACCTACCACTTTGATTTGTGATCGGACTAAAAAGGACTCTCTTCTCTTGTTTACTCTTGAAAATGAATATGACTCATCAATCAACCAATTAATTAATTCTTTACCTCAAGAGTAGCAACGAGGACTTCCATTTCAGGAAATTTTGAATTCAAATTTCTCTGGAGCACAAACAATTATTTTCTGAAAAAAGTTCATTACACCCAACCACATTTAACAGTGTTAAATTTAATATCTGTATAAAGTAACAATAACATTGTACCATACGGAGAAAGTGGTGGGAGCTTTACAGGAAAGCCGCCATATAGAAAAAACATTACAGATAGTTATGAGATTGTCATCTCTTTTGCCCTAAAATCATACTTTCCTAAGCTGAACTTTTACTGAAATGATCTCTAATTGTACCTGCTGTTGTTGCTGCTGTTGCTGCTGTTGTTGCTGCTGTTGCTGTTGCTGTGTCTGCTGCGGTATAGTCTGCTGCCGAGCTGCATTTTGCAGCAACTGTTGAGTTCCATGGCCAGAAATCAAAACAGAACTGCTATGAGGAGCGCCTTTCGTTTGGGGAGCCTGACCCACAGCCTGAGTTTGAGTTCCAGGAGTAGGAGGTCGCAGTATAAGTTGAACACCTCCATTTGGATTTTGTTGTACAAGAAATGGCCCTGAAGTTAATCCTGGAATTACCTGAAAGAAAACCAAGAATTTCACTTGACTGTTGATGACAAGGGTAATTCATGTACTCTTAACAAACTACATGGTGCTCAAAGCACAAAACTTTCCATTAGCAAAGATCCTCAATGGTAGGGGGTGAGATTATACATATTTCTAAGACATTTTCTCTGATGCAGCATGTGTAAATCAGTTTAGTATACACATGAAATCTACCCAACACCGTTAAAGCAAAAGCAATTTAGTACCTGATTCAAGACAAAAGTTCCAGCCGGTGCAGTCGGTATCACAGCAGCCTGATTCGCTTGACCAATCACAACTTGAGCTCCAGCTGCACCATGGTGAGAAGCATGTAGACCTGTCAAAAATACAAAATTCTGTGTGAAAAGTTGTTTTATTTATAATTATACCACAGAGGACAAAAAATTAAAATCAATGTTCTTCCACTTCAAGAGTAGTACTCCAAATTGGCATTCTGTAATAAAATATTTGTTACAGACAATTCTTAAATATACAATTTCTTTATTCATCACAAATCTTGCCTAAATACATGCAAGAAATCCTGTTCACAATTGCTTAAAAAAAACTCTCTCTCATTTTTATTTTTTTAATTCTTTTAAAGAATATAAAATCCATTTCCATTAAGTCATGAATAGCATTTACAAAGACATAAATAAAATAAGCAATGATTGCTTTGACATTAACTACAAATTCTTGGTGCACAAGAGTGATATATATATA